GACTGACTCGTCCGTCTGTCGAGACACGTCCACCGGTGCCGGTGGCTCAGTTGCAACCACCGGTAGTCTGGCGACGGATGGTGCAGCGGAAGAACGAGGGTGCTGCGAACCCCGCTCCTCCTGCTCCAGCAGCTCCAGCTCCAGCTGACGGTATTCAGCTTCATCCATCGCCGCCTGAGCTTGCAGCGCTGCCTGCGCCTCCGCCTGCTCCGCCTGCCGCCGGGACTGCTCTGCCTGTTGTCGGGCTTGCTCCGCCTGCGCCTCCGCCTGACGCCGGGCCAGCTCAGCCTTGGCGGCGGCGGCGCGCTGGACCTGTTCCGCCTGGAGCTTGCTTAGCGCAGCTCGGCGGCGGGCTTCACTGAGGCCAGAGGACGCCGTACTGAAGCTCGCCTCACTCCTCGTGTGATATGAGCTCCGGCGACCTTGATGCGATTTTGCATCACTGTCGTGTCGTGACTGTTTGTCAGACATTGTACTCACAGCTCACAACACCGCGTCGTCACTGTAAATCCATCACACTAGTTCACTGACATCCGGCCCGGAGGACCAGAATGTTCGTGAGAATCGTTCAGTTCACCCGTTCGAGTACTCGTTCTCTGTCATTACCCGGAGGACCATAAAGTTATTGTTCATATATGAAAAAGTCTATTCTTGAATGAAACGGAAACGGTTAAAATGCACTAAATACGGCGGTCACAAATGCGGTTCACTGAATCGTTCTCGTAGGGCCACGTCGGCCGCGTCGTACGTAAGGCCACGTCGGCCACGTCGTGCACCGGGCCGTCGCGCACCGGTGGAGTCCCGTCGAAGACTGTCAGGCCCCCGTCCCGTCTCAGCCCTCGTGGTACGCACAACACGTGGGCATGAGAACCAGGACAGGGGCCAGATGACACATATGTGAGCGGCGTGGCGCGGCGGACCGACCGCCGCGCTCCGAGCGCCGGCCGTCTTTGCGAAGATATCCAAAATGCCCATTTGCTCGCTAACATAGCCGGCCCGGTTTTTCGCGATCATCCGCGGAAAATCCAACAACTAGCGAGCAATCGTTCAAGCGTCCCGTACGCACGCACACACTCGTAACGATCCGTTCAACATGCGCGATATGCATACACTCACATACAATACGCATTACGCACTACACAGAGTCTGGCCGGGGCGGAGGTCATTCCTGACAACAATCACGTGCCCAGTCGTAAAACTATACGACGGCGCGGTCCCGGCCGCCGGTGCCTCTCGAGCGAGTGTTCATAGTTAACGACATGCGTCAGTGCGTGACAGTGACCGGCGGCCGGGACCGCGCCGTCGTATAGTTTTACGACTGGGCACGTGATTGTTGTCAGGAATGACCTCCGCCCCGGCCAGACTCTGTGTAGTGCGTAATGCGTATTGTATGTGAGTGTATGCATATCGCGCATGTTGAACGGATCGTTACGAGTGTGTGCGTGCGTACGGGACGCTTGAACGATTGCTCGCTAGTTGTTGGATTTTCCGCGGATGATCGCGAAAAACCGGGCCGGCTATGTTAGCGAGCAAATGGGCATTTTGGATATCTTCGCAAAGACGGCCGGCGCTCGGAGCGCGGCGGTCGGTCCGCCGCGCCACGCCGCTCACATATGTGTCATCTGGCCCCTGTCCTGGTTCTCATGCCCACGTGTTGTGCGTACCACGAGGGCTGAGACGGGACGGGGGCCTGACAGTCTTCGACGGGACTCCACCGGTGCGCGACGGCCCGGTGCACGACGTGGCCGACGTGGCCTTACGTACGACGCGGCCGACGTGGCCCTACGAGAACGATTCAGTGAACCGCATTTGTGACCGCCGTATTTTGTGCATTTTAATCGTTTCCGTTTCATTCAAGAATAGACTTTTACTTATATGAACAATAACTTTATGGTCCTCCGGGTGACGAGTACGAGAACGAGTGACGCACGAACATTTCCGTATCGAACGGGTAAACTGTACGATTCTCATGAACATAATTTGTTGTATAAATATTAGCCGTTTTCACGACGGGCTATCCGGCGAGTGCACCTAATTTGACCAGATCTGCACCTAATCTTTTTTTACAGCAAATATTTTCATTTTATGAATATATTTCAGTGTTTTTATCGATTATGCTTTCTGATAATATGACAAAGCAGGCATATAAGCAATTAGTGCAACCCTAGCTGATAACTATTAAGAGACGCACTGAACTTGATTTGACCAAATCTGCACCTAATCTGTTCCAGATGTGCACCAAATGTGTACCAAATGGCCGTCGTGAAAACGGCTATTATATTTTACGGTTTACGGCCCACAGACCGCCCATGCTATGCTCTGTGATCCGTGCGCTGTTCTCTACACTTGTTAGTCATGTTTTGTCTCGAGCCATGTCGCTTCCCAAGACCACGGTCAATGCTCCATGATCCATGTTCGGCGGCGTCCTGTATCGGCCCTCGCCATTGACCGGGGTCCGGGATGCGGGATAATGACTGTTCCGACCCCGGGGGCACTAATAGAGCCAGATTGGGGCAGACGCAGGAGATGAGTTCGTATTGGGTATTGGGTATTGGGTATTCTATATACCCCGGCGGGTCAGCTATTCCAGGAAGGTCGACACGGAGGAAACATCTAAGCAGAAATGAACGGTCACAAAATAACATTGCAACAAGCAATCGTATTACAAACCAACCAAATAAAAAAATGCACCCAAAAATGTTTTAGTTCATCCAGGTCAGGATTTTGTGTACGTGTTCTTGAAATATTTCTGGCATATTCATGCACAATGAAATACATAGGCATGCTAAAAGTACACGATGCATGCACGCCTCATTGAAGATCCGACCATGGATTTGACCAGTCGAACATTTGAAGAAATTTGTTACCGGCCCAGTTGGGCGTGTTCGACATGAAGCTCTTTTATATATGGCAGCTGGTCAATACGTGGCCACTGCCGAGTCCTAAACAGCATGAGCTGGTTCCAGCACCGACGCACGAAGATTTCTTGAATAATTTTGCGTGAAGTAACTATATTGGGTGTCTTTTGCCTAATTCAAAATCCATTGCTGCCTGCAACGTAGTGATCGTTGTACCATGGTTGATCTGGATTAGGCTGCGCTATCAGGATAATACCGGAAAAGGAATGAGACAAAATGCGCACATTTCATTCAGCTTGCATAACCAAACGGTTCAACGGACAGTGTTATCCTCTGTTATAAACCGATATTAATATCAGTGCAACCGCGGTGATAAGTGTGTGATGATTTCTCGGAGAGCGTGTCAAGTCTGCGTCTTTGGCGGCGATCAGTGTGTGTGCATGCCAATTGCGTGTTTAAATATTTAAGTGCATGGAAGTTTAGTTGTTGGAACGGAAGCTTGTTTTGATTTTTTCACCAAAACCAAAGGCTAAAGTTCGAAATTTTACAAATGCGAATGAAAATCTCTTTTACAACAAATGTCTTCATTGCATGAATTTATTTCAGTGTTTTAATCGAAAATAATGTCTGATACTTTGAAAAAGCAGGTTTATAATCAACTGTGCAGCCTAAGCTGACAACTTCGAAAAAACACAATGGTCCTAATTTGACCAAAGCTTCACCAAATCTGCACCAAATGTGAACCAAATGTGTACCAAAGGGCCGTCGTGAAAACGGCCAGCATTCACACATCGCCCAGTAACAACATAAGCATTAAGCAAGCATGACACAAAACACGGATTAAGCGTTAAAATAAACTTGCAATTATCTCAGACATTTGAAATGCAAAGAACTAACATTGCGCACATTGCGCACAATGCACAGCGACGCCTGAGGTCACTGACCGGGGTTGACCGAGTGTTTATTGTTCATGTTCCGTCGTGTCGGTCTGTCGGTCAACGGTCGGCTGGTAAGAACGACCAGACTTTGTTACTAGGTTTGTGCGGCTGCCTACTCAGTGAGTAGGCAGCCGTCTGTTGAGGCAGCCGTCACGTCTGACGGGTGAGTAGTACTCACCCGTCAGACGTTTTCCGCAGCATGCCTGTATGTAGAAGAGACCTGTGTTGTGCGGTTGACGGTGTCCGAGCCATAAATGGCATCTTTTGTTTAATTGTTTCAGGCTGAGCTATCAGTGTTTGGTAATCTGGAGATTTAACAGCTACACGAACGGACAAACAGCCAGATTTACTAGAATATACGGCATGTTTCCAGGAATGATAAGCGACCATGACTGACCGCCCTGTTAGGGCTCGGTTTCTTTTTACATTCGTGTGTTCATAACAAAGCGATATTATAAAAAGTCGTTTTCACTACGGGCTATCTGGCGAATGCACCTAATTCAACCAAATCTGCATCATACCGCTTTTATAACAAATAGGTACCTTTCTTCATATCATGAATTTATTTCAGTGTTAAATCGAAAAAAGGTGTGATAATATGGAAAATAAAGTATATAAACATCCGTGCAACCCGAACTGATAACTTCTAAAAAGCACAATGAAACTTATGACCAAATCTGCACCAAATCTGCACCTAATCTACACCAAATGTGTACCAGATGGCCGTCGTAAAAATGGCTATTGTCTACTTCTTTCTTAGCATGTAAAGAAAATTGTTAGCCCTTGAGGTCGAATTTCTTGGACACATGACAATCTTCCATCAATGCCAGCCGGTAAGTTTCAACAAAAGCATGGCAGTGCCTCTATTCTCAGTGTCTCGTTTTTCAATGGTCATGCCACGGCGTTTACAGATTTAGAGAGCAGTTGAGGCAATGAGTGCTGATGATCGGCGCTCTCATGAGACAAACGCCGCCGGTCTCAATTTGACCTGGCGCTTGATCTGAGACAGATAATTCCTATTGCCTAAACAGTATTGTTTAGTACACGCTATACGTTGCTGACGGGACTGACTAGCGTGCTCGCTCAAAGCAACCAAGCTGTCAGTCAACAGTCAGCACTGCATGCACTCTGTCAACTGGCACAGATGTCGTCACGGCCCCACACCGGTGGTGGCGTGAGAGTATCAACCAGTGTACATACTCACAGCACTTGAAGGCGGCGTTTGCCACGCCGGCCGTCTCCATCTGCTCCAGGAACGAGACGTAGAGCACGCCGTAGCAGTTGATGATGCCGAAGATGACGCCGTTGCAGAGGAAGCTGACCAGTACCACCAACCAGGCGCGCAGACCGCCGTCGACCGGCGGGTGCACCGCCACCGGCTTGGTCTCCTCGGGAGGCTGCTTCTCCGGCAGCGGCTTCGTCAGGCGCGTCATCTCCGAAGGAGCCGGAGAGTGCCGCCCGGAGGTCTGAGGCGGCATGGTTGGTAGCGGACGGTTGACGGTTGTCAATCGGCTATCGAAGGTTAATAGGAAGTTTCTGGTGGAAGGTATTTACAAACGACCGACGACTGACGACTGGCGGACGAAGGCTGGGTAAATTGTTACCTGACGATTGAAGTTGTACCTGACGCCCGACGAATAACGTCTGACGGCTGACGAGTGAAGGATGATAATTTATCTGTCAACTGGCCGATAGCAAACCAAGACCTCCAATGCCTCCAGCCTCCAACCGTCGATCCTTCGATGAGGCGCCGGCCCAGTCTCCCAGCCGTCGGGGCCCACTGGACGACGAGCGATCGATGCTTGATGTCGGGTCACCGGCGGACCAGCCACCACTGACGTACCGGCCGCAGCCCGCGCCGACGAGAGCCGCAGCGTCCCGTCCGCGCCCCCTTCTCCCCCCCCCCCCCCGGCGAGACACCGACGGAAGGTCCGGGCGCCTCCCCAGCAACGCCGGGCTGGTAAAGGTATTCGTATGCGTATCATTTAGGTAACAGTAGCACCTCATATAAAAAAAATAAAGGAATAACGTTCGACAGAATGGATAAACTGGACGCGCTTAGTTCCCAGCCAGCAATTCGCTTGGGCTGAACTGTGGCAGGCGTCGGGCAGCTTGGGCTTAGCTTGGGTTTGCCCACTTTGATCAAAACCAATGTATTTTTTACTAAGGCTGAGCTGGGGCATGCCGCAGCTATGCCCACGTGCGGATAGCAGTAGCTCAGCCCGACATCTGCCCGCGCATCCAAAACAGGCTTAACTTGGGCGGAGCGCGGGCTGATCAAGCTGGCTGTGTCCTTCGGCTAACTGGAGTAAAGCCGGAGCTTAGCCATACTTGTTCGGCTGTTCGCGCATGCGCAGTTCTGCGCCAATCATGTGCAGCGTTTGTGACAGTCTGTGCGCTGTGCGACGAAACGACACACCGGTGTTGGGGCATTTGGTGGTTGATGTTTGGGCGCGTGTGACAGCGCGAAGAAGGGATAGTGCTCACTGCTCTTTTCAAGTGGACTGGCATGGAGTTTTACGGTAGGTAAGTGTATTGAATGGTGCGCTTGATCGTATGTAAACGTCATGATTTTGACTGAGTTTGACGCCATCAAACATGAAGCTGAATAGCTGTTCAGCCTGGCGACTTACACCCTCGCTCAGAAAAGCCGCATTGCGTGCCTTTATATCTTTGTGAAATACCAGCACTTCTGAACCAGGAAAATGAAATACAAAACACAAATATTTATCTACTTATCACCGAGCACGCTCATTCTCTGTCCGCGTTGAAAATCAAATGAACATTCTATACGGATCAATGAGAAGTGCTTTTACAGTATTAATGCAACAATAAATTATTTGTCAAGCAAACATGCAATGTAAATTAAACCAATTAATCTCTTTTTCAGGTACGTACCATTAGAGCAAATAGTTCCAAAAAATGGAATAGTTATGCAAACCAGGACCGGGTGGACGCCGCAGTCGCCCTCGCCAAGTGGTTTAGCGGAAACTGCCTGCTTATAATTAAGTAGGCATACCTACATATAGGTGCGGAAACTGCGCCGAAAGCTGGCCGACCACCTACTGCAGATGTGTGTGTGTGGAGGAGCCAACGCCTCCAAAGCTCCCATTCACCAGAGTGAAGTTCCTTATAAACGATTGTTTGCTTATTGCTTTATGTCTTATGAGCGATTACTTGCTGTCCTTACTTTATGCTTTCAGTTGAGTGTTAAACCAAGTATTATGAACGGGGAGGGAGGCTAGCGGGCCTTGTGATTGTTTTATAGTTATGATGGCGTTTTTTCATGACTCATGCCATATTACTGCTGCAGTTTGCAGTCCACTGTTTCATGTATTTGTGTTTCATTTGACGTGTCTATAATCGTTTGAAATATACATTCAATCAAACTCAACCACTACTTTCCTTTTGCAATGCTCGAGCCTCGATGGCCGGTTAACAGAGCATATGAGTGACCGTAACAATTTTAAATATGCATTGAAACCGCACAACCTGCTGAAAGTGCATTGGCTGCTCCTTGCTACTTGATCCAGTGTGAAGCAAAAGCAAGATGAAGTCAAGTCGAGACTTGAGAAAACAGGAGCCATCACTCGAGCCGAACCCGAGCAAAGCCACAGCAGTTTGCAATGTATAAACCCCATTCACTTCTATGGCTTAAGTCGGGATAGACAGGGCACACAGAGTGGGCTTGCCGGAGTTCAGCCCGCTCGGGCCCAGAGTAATCTCCATTATATAAATGGATTCACTGCTCGGGCTTAAATCGGGCTAACGCCAATCGTCGCTCAACTAGGGCTAAACTACGGCTGTCCGGAGCTCGCAGAGCGGGCATACCTCCGGCAGAGCATGGGCTTTAGTCGGCGTATTTGTGTCATACGCCGACTTTAGCCCAAGCCCTAGCCGACTTTAGCCCGACTAAAAATCTCGGGCAATCCGCACTTGAGCCTGCTTGGGCCCGGAGCAAAATTGCTGGCTGGGTTCTTATTTAAATTGCCTTTTCGAAACTTGTTTTCGGCATCAAAATTAATTTGTAAATATCGAAAGTCCTTTATAATAATCTAACACTTCTTGAACGAAAGTCTGTCTCGTATACGGGACTTAGTTGAGGAGTTGAGGAGTTGAGGACCGTCAACTGAGCTGAGCAGCTGATAAAGCGTTGGATGGACTCCCGGTAGTGAGAGCCCAAGTTCGTGTCGATCCGGCGCTCGATATTTTAGACTTCTGACGGGGAAAAATCAATTGGCGCTATCTTGTTTCTGGGAGAAAACTTTTCACGTTTGAATGATTCATGCTTGATTATCTCGCAGGTTTTAGCGGTATATTTTTCCCCTTTGAAATTAAGTAAATTTCCGGTTACATCTTCTTCGTCTCAAGCTTTTAACCCTCGCCGGACCTATTGGTTTTCTACATACGCGCCGGCCGAGGGGGGGGGGGCGGGTACGACCCCCCCTCGCCGTTTCGCCCCTGGTGGAGCTAGCGCGTCGCGGAAAAAACGAGCGTGTGCGCCGTTACGAGACGCAGAGATTGGTACCCGATTTTAAGGTCTTAGGTCAACCGGTGACCTCTGAGGCCAGGTCAAGTGCCCCAGGGTACGGTTCTGTTTTTGGTGAATAACTTCGCAAAAAACGGCCGCAGAGCCGCGATTTTGGCAGCATCGTGTTCGCCTTGCTCAGGCGCGTCGAATGATATACTTTTTGTTCGGGTCAGGTCAACTTAGGGTGTTGACCTCAGGTCAAGGTCAGGTCAGCACCCCCAGGTCACGAAGTTGGTCGAAAGAGGTCATGTCGCATATCATTCGATTCGGCAGGTCTTCCTGAGTCCATTGGTGGCTTTCTCGACTCGCTAGCTCAATTTGATCAAGAGTTATTGACGAAAAACTAATATGACCTTGATGACGTCATAAATGACGTCACGGAAGGTCAGCATTGCAAAAGTGACGCATCTAACCTTGCAAGGAGTGCATCAAATCACGATTCTGTGTGCTTGAGATAGTTGGAGATCGTTCCCGGCGCCAGAATAGCAGTTTTCATTTTTCCCCATTGACTTCTAATGGTGAGGTCACGAAAATGACCTGACCTCATATGACCTTCAGGAAAAATCCGAGATAAACAAGTTGTGAGACTCATAATGGATACTAGATCCTGCAAGTTTCATTTTCCTGTGACATCTTTTCTGGCAGTGAGGGCGTTGCGAAGTTGCGACATCTGAAGACCATGCAGAGGTTCACTTATGACGTCATAGGTCAGTGACCTGACCTGACCCAAAAATGCAGTTGGTGTCAAAAGATGCGGCTTGGATCAAAGGTCAGGTATGCGAAGTTTCAGCTTTCTATCGCCAGCGTGTTCGGAGCTATCGCGAAAAAACCCTATGGGGGGGGGGGCGGCACCCGTCCCCCCCCCCTCGGCCGGCGAGGGTTAAGGGTTGAAGATGCGATCCATTTATTCGTACACATGCCTGCCACATTTCCGGCTATATCTCAGAAACCTAAAACCGCGAGAGTTGTACGTGGCGATTTTAAGTTTTACTCTGACACAGGGAACTGGCGCCATCCGTACTTCGTCCTTCGATCGCATAATTTGATAGAAACGAAATTTTTATGTGTAGTTAGAATTTCAAATGACATTTTCCTCGATAAATAATTGGAAATGCAATAAAAAAGCAAATGTTATATTGTTTGACAAAATTTTCGAACAACAGTTCATAATCAAGCCACAGGAAACAATTGACTATACCGTTTCTTCAGAAACGAAATTTTTGCATAACGCATAACATTTTGTTACTATCTCAGTCTCTTACTTTTTTTGTCAATGCTTTTGCGCACCAGCCGTTGCTGTGAATGCGCCGGTGGCATGTTTTAAATTGCAGGTAAAAAAGCTGGCTGTTTATTTTCAGATTAGCTTCAATTGCAGCTTGTTAGCCTGATGAAAGTTGAGCCAACGCCTCTCCATCGGCAAAATTATCCAATCAGTGCTCTCTTCAAGCTATGAACGGAAGAGGTTCCGACTTCAGAGTTCCAATTAGGCGAATGCCAGGAACTCCTGGCTCAAATTACGCCACTGACGATTCGGGTCTGCTGAAATGCTTCCTGGAAAATACACAAAGCAAAGCTCTGCATGCTTCATATCACGTTTAAGTATGGTATGGACCCAAGCCTGTCAAGAACCATTGACCTTTAAGGTTGGGGTGCTACTGCACGTGCGCACGTGCAGGGGGTGCTCCCAGATCTCGAGAACGGCTGGGCCGATTGCGCTCAAATTTGGTACACGGCTGGGGACCAGTTAGTAGGGTGCCGTGCAAAAGTCAGTTTGGACCCTGCTTGCACGTGCGCACGTGCAGAATGCCGCTTCCAGATCTCAGGAACGGCTGGGCCGATTGCGTTCAAATTTGGCACACCGCTAGCGAAGTACCCTCTCGCCCTTGCGCACGTGAGGGCTCACTATCTCGCCCGCTCGTTCTTCACCCAAAAGGCGTTTTACTGGTTCGGATAAAGCGTTTATTGACAAGTACATACATGCAACCAAGTACCTAAAACCAGTCATTGCATCAAAACAAATATAATTGGAGACATTGTTAAAATGCTAAGCACAGATACACCTATAAATGAGGATGCATTGATGTGAAACAGTTGGAACAGACGTTTGAGCCGGTGATTATTACAACGATGAAATGATTATACCTTAATTAGTGGATTCTCTATCGTCCAACAAAAAAGACACAAATCTTACGATCAGACTCGAAATGGCTAAACAAAGCTAATGCATCATTCAGTTATCTACTTTTATTTGGGGCCTTAGCCTTTTATAACCCAATTTTAGCGCATAATAGTAATGCTTCTATATTTCTGATATAATTTACATTCATACCTTAGTCGCATGGGTGGTGGATAACTGCGCATAAAATCAATGACATAATAAGAGATCGAGGGGTGCACTGTGAGGAGCATCCAGCTCTGACGGTTGAGTAAGTTTTTGGTCTACATTTCCGCCTCGAAGTCGCGCTGGGCTAGAATTTCTTCAGTCCATCGCCCGGACTTTGTGCGGGTAAGGTTCATGCGAGCGGTTCTGGTCGTTGCACACGCAGGGACGCCTTGAGACTGGCAATCTTCAGCCACGTCGGATTCCAGCTTTCCAGTGTTGCTGGTGCAGCCATCAAGCTCTTTCTCGTGTATCGCAGGATGGGTTTCAACCTTCCCTGTCACGCGACTGTGCTCTTGGGCTGGAATTTCCTCTTTCGTCACTATGCTTTCCTCTTGAGTCACAGTCTCCTCCATTTCCATGGCCGCCTCGCTCTCTTCCTGATTCGGCTGGACGTGCCGGCGAATCTCCTCCCAGGAGGTGACCACGTCCTCGGCGGTCGTCACCCGCGACACCACCACAAATCGCGCCGCCAGCGCCCCGTTGGCCAGCGTCGTCTTCACGATAAACACCTTCTTGGCGTCATTCACGCGGCGTAGCAGCTCTTCCGTGGCGGAGTCTCCCCCTCCGCGCACGCGGAAGAACACCACGCCCATCGAGGCGGGCGCCACCACCTCAAACCGGTCGTCACGCCTCACCAGCTCCTCAAACTGCCTGGCGAGCTGCACGTGCCCGCGGATGTACTCCTGCAGCCCGCTGACGCCGTACAGACGCAGCACGAACCACAGCTTCAGCGCGCGGAACCGGCGGCCCAGCGCCAGCGACCAGTTGCGGAAGTTGGGCAGCGTCGTCTCGGCAGTGTGCAGGATCGGAGCGTCGATCTTGTGCGCGGCTGTGAATGTGCCCGAGTCGCGCACCCACAGTGCTGCGCACTCGAAGTTGACCAGCATCCACTTGTGGGCGTTGAAGCTGAAGGAAGTGACCTCCTCCACGCCGTTCAGTAGGTGGCGGAACTCGGGGCAGACGAACGCGGCGCCCGCGTACGCCGCGTCCACGTGCAGCCACAGCTCGTGCTGTCGGCACACGGCTCCCAGCTCGTCCAGCGGGTCGAACGCGCACGTGCCAGTGGTGCCCAGCGTGGCCAGGACGTAGATGGGCACGTTTCCAGCGGCCAGTTCCTCCTCCACGGCGGCCTGCAGAGTATCTCCCCGCAGACGACATTCATCGTCAGTCGGCAGGACGCGCATGCGCACAGCGGCCGAGGCAGCTGCCTTGAGGATAGCTGGATTTGCCTGGGCGGAGGTGAAGGCCACCAGCCGGCCTCGCGCAGTCGCCTCGTCCAGGTCTGGCTGGTCCCGGCGCAGGTCCTTCAGCGCCCTCTCACGGGCAGCTGTAATGGTCAGGAGGACGCCCTCGGTGGCAGAGCCGGTGATGACGCCGCCTCCAGCGCCTGACTGGGACAGGAAGTGTTCAGGCAGACCGAGCAGGCGCACCAGCCAGTCTAGCACAACCACCTCGAGCTCGAGACAGGCCGGCGCCGCCTCCCAGCTGAGGCCCACGCAGCTGAGGCCGTGCGCCAGCATCTCTGCCAGCAGCGCCGGCGGGGAGTTGGCCAGCGGACAGAAGGCGTGGAAGTGCGGCGAGTGCCAGTGGGTCATGCCCGGCTGGATGACCCGCTCCATGTCTGCCAGCACGTCTGTCCAGCGATCGGGCGTAGGTGGCGCCTCGGAGGGCACCAGCCGGCGCAGGTAGCCGGGCTCCACAGAGGGCAGCACTGGCCGGTCCCGCACCGTCCGCTGGTACTGGAGGATGTAGTCGATCACCTCGTGGGCGGCTGAGCGGAACTGGCTGTCGTTCATCGTCTTCCTGTGGAAAGGGAGGATGAGAGGTGAGCTCTATGTATTACGCTAATGAACATTAATGCCGGAATACCGACTGTCATTTCCTTTGGTGCGGGCTACCTGGCACCTCGTACCTCACCTGAGCCGAGGTACCTACGAAGTATGTACAGCCCTCTGCAGACTGCGTGGTAGGTATTCTTTTTTCGACAAAACCGATAATAACTCAAAGGTTATGTTATCAGTCGGTCGGAACTCACTGCAAATAGATGCGCCATGCCCCACTCCTTCGATTAGGTCTATCAATAAACAAAGTATGCGCCTTGCGTGGCAACAAAATGCAAAAGTTTGTTTTGGGGGCAAATATAAACTTTTGGGTTTAGTTGCCGAACTAGATGAAAAATGGATACGGTGATGATGCCAATCTAAGGGCGGGGTCTAGCGCGTCTTGCTGTTACAATTTCCGAATGACCGATAGCATAGTATTCGCGTTATTCTCATTTTTGTCGAAAAAAGAATACCTACCACGCAGTTTGCAGAGGGCTGTACTTACCTGGCACCTCCTACCTCACTTTAGCTCCATGCTACAATTAACCTGCGACAAATAATTAAATGCTTATTTCGTACAGTATAAACTGATGCGGACGCGTAAACATTCTTGTGGTGTCACTTCGCTGGATAATGCAAATGTGTGTTCTTGACGATTGAATAGATTTCAAGCATGTTGACAGCATATAAAACTTAACGAGTATGTGCCAAAGATTAATTGAGACGTGAGACAGGTAACGAAAAGGAACGAAAACTTTTTATTAACTTAAAAGATAAATGGTCCTAAGCCTTACCGACAGTATAAGCAAACGAAGCCTCGTAAAATATGATGCACATAAATGTTGCGTATCCATGACAGGTTTGATGATGATGTAAATAATAAACAAATTTAATGATAAGCATTTGTAATAATTTGTTTATTATTTACATCATCATCCACTGATGCTCATAACTTACCAGTTAGTGATTGAGCGGTTAGTGGTATCTATGAGGATTCTTGTTCTATGTCCACTGAGCCCACAACGCACGTCAGCTGTCTTCTTCGGGAGCACACACTGTCACTCACAAGCTAGCAGCTTCAACTGATGACAGTGAAACCAACAAAATGTCTTTTTATATGAAGTACCACTCGGATAAGTAATTTCCAATACGTTTATTACCTATTTCTTGTGAAGCATTTGCTCTCAAAGCCACATGGACTTCTGACCGTGTCAAGAGACGTCACAGGCCAGTCCGCTAGGTCATGACGTCAGCAGATGCGTTTGTGACGTCATTTTACGTCACCGGTGACGGTGCTGCACCCAGAGATGTAGGACAGCCATTGTTGGGATTTTGTTTTGCATTGAATGCCTGTGACGTTATATCATTGCCTTGCTTCCTGCTTCCGCTGTGTCTGAATATCATTGGGTAGGGATGTCGATGTGGCAACGAGAAGGAAGTGCCTTATTAGATCGTGCATATTGATATGCTACCGTCAAAGATACGGCACCTAAGAATGCATTGACGCGACGTTAGCACACCGTTCATTTTAGCACCGTTACAGGATAGTACAGGCTACGTCCTTAGTTCAGTGTTCTTAGGACTAAAATTAGTCGTCCCGGCACGACCGTTCACGCACGGATGAGTAGCGGTTTCCGGTCGCGACGTTATCTGGTTGCTCAACATTGCATATGCTGTCGGCGCTGGAAATCTCCGATGAATTCCCCATATTTCCATAATGATGTAATGACGCTCTGCTCGGCTGCTGACGTCCCGTGGCCGGCGGCCAGCGGTCGGTCATCCCGTCCCGTCCAGTCTGCGTGGCGACAGGCTGTGACCGACACCCGCCGTTACTCACCGTTCTGTGAACCAGGGACATCCTCAGTATACGAGGAGCTGCACGGATGACCGCAGACCGAGAGCGAGTCGAAGGGAAATACGGCGACTTTGAGCGAGTCATGTCCGGTGCTAGGATTGTTGCGTAAAGTGAAACAATGGTTACAACTTACAAATATGATGTTTATAATAGCCTGAGACTTATTAGTACCGTAAAGTGGGGCTATTTGAGACAGTGGGGCTATTTGAGACAGTAAGGTAATGGTATAGTAAAATCGCTGTAAAATGAAAACCGTTTGATGTTTTTTCGTCATTTTTGCTTAGGCTAATGTGGAATTGAACAGTGAATGCTCTGAATAACCTTTTTGAAAACTTCGAAAAGTTCTGAAAGAAATTTGCAAAAAAATACGAAATACAGAAAAACGCACAATTTAAGTTGCTCGAAAAGGACCCCTACCTGCAGCTTAACAAAGTTGAAGTTTTAACAGCTTCGCCAATGCATCTATCGTTACTACCTTTTTGCTTATTGGCTAAGCACATTTTTCATGAAAATATTATATATTGTTAACGGTACTGCCGATTGCGTAACCCACTGTCTCAGAATCCCGATGATGCCCACCTGGTCAAACCTCAACGGATATGCCAAATAGCTGATGATAACGGTGATGCGATGCACCCGAGAAGACTTACCGCCATTTACCTGAAGTGCATCGACCGTTCGACATGAGCAACACCGGTGAATCGGTCGTGGTCATAAACGTGCAGTGGGTTCATGGTAGGTACTTTTAGCAGCAAGCAATTTATACATGTTCGTAGTGTAACATAATGACCCTTTAGCTGGTGACCAAACTAGCTATTCTGATGAATATGTGCTTAAAATGTGCTTCATCAGTCACTGACTCATTCAACAATCAACATATGTCTACCTTGGTTGACCAAAAAAAAAAAAAAAACACCATTGAATGTTACTTAACCCGCGCCCTGCTGGGGGGGGGGTGTTTGAACACCCCCCTTGTGGTTTTTCGCGAATATCTCAAAAACGGCGGCGCGGAGCGCCGCCGTTTTTGGTACACCTTATCATAAATCAATTCTACACATGTTGTGAAAATTTCAGACCAGGGTCATTCAAGGTCAGGTCACCAGGTCACTTGAAGTGAATTCACCTCATAAAAAGTTTAAATGTCTGTCATAGCTACACCGAGTGACCGATCGCTTTGAAACTTTCAGCGATTGCTAAGAGCAATAGCATGTACAAAATGTATTTCTCAGAATTTTGATATCGATGACCTAAGGTCAGGTCAATTTTGCGACCTCCCCATTATAAGTCAATGGGAGAAAATTGAAATGCGCCTCTTTTGGACGAAGGACATTATAAACACTCCCAAACACCGAATTACAAGTGGTTTAGACACACTGAACATGAAAATGGTGTCCGTGACCCTTGTTTGTGCCCTGAGGTCATCTTAGGTCACGAATGGTATCTAACAGTTTTTCGCAAATAACTTTTGATAGAGACATGCTAGAGCGATGAAAACGTCTTATATGTGTTCAGCTCGACGATACAGATCGACTGATATGCAACATGACCCTTTCCGGTCAGGTCATGACCTTGACCTGAGGTCAAATTTTCAAGTTGACCTTTCAAGGTCAAGTTATAGTTCATTCGATGCGTCTTGACGAGAGGAACACGATACCGGTAAAATTAAGCTCCTACAAGGCTTGGGTCAAAAGTTATTGCAGAAAAACTGTTTCCGAAAAAATCGGCTATTTTTGCAGTTTTTGCCCCCTGCAGGCAAAACCGTTGACGTTAGGTCAAATCTGAGAGAATTACTCAGAAAGGGCGTTAATAGGGCTATCGAATGCACTTTTCCGCGGCGCTGTAGCTCTATTGGTTCCCGAGTTATGCGTTAGCTTCTTGGAAATTTTCGACATTCGACCTGGAAATCGGCGAAATTTTGCCTTCAATGACCTCTGGTGACCTGACCTTTGACCTGACCAAAAAATTGACCGAAGTGATTTCGTCATTATTTTTTACGCTCTTTCGAACGCCGCCTTCCGCGTATCGCTACGTGGCCCAGGAGCCGAGTTAGAAGGGGGGGGGTGTTCAAACACCCCCCCCCCCCAGCAGGGCGTGGAAATCCAGGACCCCCAGCGGGGCGCGGGTTAACACATGAACGTACTGTTAGGTGAGCCTATCCAAGTACTTGATGTGGTAGGGTAACCGGCCAATTGATACAGCATGCAGCGATCGAGGAAAATCGGCATAAAATCAAAACCGTCTAACATTTTACTGTTATTTCTTCGCATGGAGATGTACAATGGAACAAACTATCATGCAGACCATTCACTCAAATGTTTTGGGAAACCTTTTACCTTGTTTGATTCATTACAGTGTGCTTCATAAGGTAGCGAGACTGTCTCAAATAGCCCCACCGACTTTCGGTATATCTGTTTTCACGTCACCTGAAAGCACAAATATACACAAAAACTTATTTTCAAAACTTTACTGTCGATGACTTTGAAATAGTCCTTGATGATCATCCTGTCAGTTTGAAAGCTATGGGTCACATCATATTATGATAGCCTTAGCATATAGTGATGCAATTTTATATCCTACCGAAATGAAGTGTCCTACGAAAAAGGAAAATATTGAATATAAAGGTCATATAACAGTCTTTGAAAAAAACAATTTTTGCCAAAATGATCAAAATTCAATTTCCAAGTGCATGGCGTTTAAAAAATTATCTCTAGTGTGACCGATTTTCTTTAATTTCCTTGCAACTAAAACTGTCTCAAATAGCCCCACCCTATGGGGCTATTTGAGACAGGCTTTAACATAAAAAATAACCTTAATGATTATAACCAGCTGAACCAAAATACACCTATATGAAAGAGCTTACAGAGAACTACATTTTTGCAATTTACATGCTATAAGAAATATGAACCGTCTTAAAGGGAGAGGCCAAAAACTGTAAAATCCGTTTCAAATAGCCCCACTTTACGGTATTTATTCATTAACTGTATCAACGGATCGATGGATCAGCGGATTGGGGGGGGGGGGGTCAACGGACATGAACCTTGATTATCTCTGCCGGTGCGTCCGGCTCTCATCTATATCATGTGGAAAAAAATGACGCCGTAATGCAGGGTGCCCACTGCCCATTGTTGTGGTCCAGACAGTGATCTTAATTTTCCCACTGGTATTTCAAGGGATTATTAGGTGCAAATGCCTTAAAGGTAGTGTGCCACCTTTGAAAGATTTCCCGTTTTATTTTTCCTAGGATAAGAAGCTTCTGTTTTTACCTAATATCGCAAAAAAAAAATCAAAAATGGGCCTGGAATAGTGCCTTTTTCGCCTAAAAGTTTATCGGTTTTTAGATATGTATAACAACTGTAGTGGGCTCACCTGCAAACAGGCGTCGGGCAACAATCGCGAATGCGGCGCACTTGTGACAATAAGCAAAGGTCATTATAGTGTTACGACCATACGACGTACGGGAATGAGTTATCAGCTGTCTAATCGTAGACAACACAATGTCGAGCCCGTATTGTAAGCCCGTATTGGTATTGTTTCTTTTATTTGGCTGTCGAACATTATTTATGGTTTGAAATATGATTTTATGTAAAATAATTGATATGAAACAGCCGTCTCATAAGTTATGACCCCATTACACCACACGCAAGTGGCAGAAATGACAATGATCAGCTGACGCATTTTTCTTGGCCGAAGTCAGAGCGCGCGGCCCGACGCACCACGCGTATTTGGAAATTCCGACCTCGACGAGCATCAGAAGCCACCTAACAGGCGTGTTCGAAACCGCAGGAGATGATGATGAACGGGTTTATCGAAACTTGATTGGATGAGCCTATCGGTAAAAGCGATTTTAGTGTGTGCATTTATTGTTCATAGTGGTGTGAAATGTGGTTGGGGTACGACCGACAACCCGTCGGGGCGAATTTCGCACTGGGGTACTCAAAATTTGAAGAATTTTAGACGTTTCCATAAGTTTTGAAGGTATGGATAAGTTCTAAAAATCCGGTTCTCCTTATCCGGGTCATTAACTCCATATGGTCCAAGAAAGCTGGCACACTACCTTTAAGGTGCCTTCATAACGGTATCTGTATTCAGAGTTTTATGAAAAATTGCTAATGTTCTTCGGCAGACAAGAAACTTACCAGATATCTATTAGAATAGGTTTACTTGCCAGGCCTGCGTCGTGGAGCTGGGTGTTTTACGCCGTTAATAAGATTGTTTAAAAAAAAGTTAAAAAAATACAAAAGAACTTCGCATACCTACATTTTACCTCCATATGTTGCGAGTACCTAGTTATTTCAATCCTAAAGCATCTGAG